TAATCATTCACATGATACAATGTATTATAACAAAATTTAATCATTAACATAACTTTTCTTCTCTTAGATAATGATACAGCAGTCATTCAATAAATAAATATACACAACAAAAACATGTATAGGCACATAATGGAAATTTAAGTGCACAAAATAGGTGTATAAATAACACAGACATATCTCTATATGTGTATATAACAACTGTACTATATCAAATATCTGATAATAAAAACCCTGATTTTAAATAAAAATTTTGGAATTTTTTCAAAGTTAAAATGAAACTATAGAACAAAAAGAAAACATTATTTACACAGCATATCAAAGAAATTATAGCAAATCTTTACTATATTCAAAAATTTCATTTTGAATAAAAGCTGGATGGTTGTTTTTCTTTTCTTTTATTTTTTTAGATAGGTGGGTATATAAAATGCCAGTCAAAAAGGAATGTAAAAGAAATTACGGCAAGTAGCTGGATGACTTATAATATGTTACAGAGGATTTTACCCACCTACCAGATCATTAGGAAACCTGTATATTATATATCTATAAATGATATATTGAGAAAAATTGATGAAATAAAATGCATATTTTCCTTTTCACTGCAATGAAACATTTTTTCCATATTTTCACTGGTATCTTGCCAGACTATTTTTTTTCTAAATTCAAATAATACACAAAATTTTGGTGGAATGTCAAAGAAATAAACAGAAAATTCAAGTTTTTCTTTAAAAAAACGGGACTTATTTTCATCTTTTGGTATGAAAATTATCATTTTTCACTTGTAGCTAATGCCATTCTAAACTTTTTATTTTCATAACACTCTATGTAAATAAGTCAGATACATGTATTTATAGAATAAAACTTGAATCCTCTATTTATTTAACTCTCATCTTGATCATTTTACACTTAAGCAATGATTAAAATCCCTGTAGATTTTAATAAAATATAAAAAGTAAATTGATATGTTTATATAGCAACCTCATTTCTTCAATACATGATTTATACAAAAATACTTCATATAAGTATATCTTATCAAAATTTAACTGTTTTTCATTACACAAATAAAATTCCTGTCATACACTGTTCACAAACCATCTTTCATGTAAAACTTTTCATTTTTCAAAATCTTGATCTTGAATAACATATACTCTGATGGTGTATGCCTTTTAATATGATACTAAACCAATTGTGACATATTTCAAAATGGAAATGTTTCAAAATGGTGACATGTTATAAATTGTGACATGATGTTAAAACCTGTGAATTTATTAAAAATTGTGACATGTTTCAAAGTGATGAGTGAAAAATGTATGCCTTAATGATTACACAACTTCCCAGTATTTTATGATACATCAAATATTGGGTCACATGATCCAGTGTCTTATGATACATCAGTTATCGATCATGTGTCCCAGTATTTTATGATACATCAAATATTGGTTCACATGTTCCAGTATTTTATGATACATCAAATATTGGTTCACATGTTCCAGTATTTTATGATACATCAATTATTGAGTCACATGTCCCAGTATTTTATGATACATCAATTATTGGGTCATATGTCCCAGTATTTTATGATACATCAATTATTGGATCATATGTCCTAGTATTTTATGATACATCAAATATTGGATCATATGTCCTAGTATTTTATGAAACATCAATTATTAGGTTACATGTCCCAGTATTTTATGATACATCAAGTACTGGGTCACATGTTCCAGTATTTTATCATACATCAAATATTGAGTCACATGTGGGTCATATGTCCCAGTATTTTATGAAACATCAATTATTAGGTTACATGTCCCAATATTTTATGATACATCAATTTTTGGGTCACATGTCCCAGTATTTTATGAAACATAAGTTACTGGGTCATATGTCCCAGTATTTTATGATACATCAATTATTGGATCATATGTCCCAGTATTTTATGATACATCAAATATTGGATCATATGTCCTAGTATTTTATGAAACATCAATTATTAGGTTACATGTCCCAGTATTTTATGATACATCAATTATTGGATCATATGTCCCAGTATTTTATGATACATCAATTATTGGATCATATGTCCCAGTATCTTATGAAACATCAATTATTAGGTTGCATGTCCCAGTATTTTATGATACATCAATTATTGAGTCACATGTCCCAGTATTTTATGATACATCAATTATTGGGTCATATGTCCCAGTATTTTATGATACATCAATTATTGGATCATATGTCCCAGTATTTTATGATACATCAAATATTGGATCATATGTCCTAGTATTTTATGAAACATCAATTATTAGGTTACATGTCCCAGTATTTTATGATACATCAATTATTGGATCATATGTCCCAGTATTTTATGATACATCAATTATTGGATCATATGTCCCAGTATCTTATGAAACATCAATTATTAGGTTGCATGTCCCAGTATTTTATGATACATCAATTATTGAGTCACATGTCCCAGTATTTTATAACACATCAAATAGTGGGTCACATGTTTCAATACATGTCTTTTATGATACATCAATTATTATTGGGTCATATGTCCTAGTATTTTATGCCAGTTATTTGGTTACATGTCCGATATGTCAGTTATTGGGTTACATGTCTGATATATCAGTTATTGGGCCTGTTGAGTCACACCATGGATATCTTGTAAACAAGACTGGTCATCATATCCAAACTCTTTGAAGATTTTTCCCAACAAAATCACATATGCTCGGAACGGAACCTCATACCTCTTCATTTCTTCTTCAATCTGTGGATTATGAAAAATAAACAAGATTTGCATAAAGATACATTATATTGCTACAATCTTTCCTTTTATACATGAATCAGTTAACCAGTTAATATGTTTAGTGTCATTTATAAATTATATTGATACAAAAATAAAGTATACCAAATTTTGCCTGCTCAGACTTGCTGAATTACATTATGCTTTTATTTCTAGAAATATTTTTCATAGGATATCAATATAAAGATAAAGATGGGACAGTAATGTTCAGCCTCCTTAATCCCCAGCTATATAATCACCAAAACTGCATTAACACTTTTAAATGGTTCACATCAGGGAGGAGGGTGGCAAACATGTAAGACGGCCTGAGAGATTCAAATAATGACAACGAAAGCCTTCTGTTCAAATCTTGGCACAGGATGCTATTCAGTTGGTTTTTAGACAGACAAAGGGGCAGCATGACAATGAGACAAACAGACAAGGAAAATCAGTACCCTACAACCACTAATTAATGATCACATAAATTGTATATTTTAACTGGAATCTTACTGGCAAATATAACAAAAATACTAAGTTTTCCCATACTGTTTTACATCTTTTTCGACAAATTTTGAAAATAACTTGCAAGTAAAAACTTAATCAAAGTGTGACAGAGGCACCAATGCCTCTGCAGCCTGAGTGAGTACAATAGCTCTCCCTATTCTACAAAAAGTCAACAAGGAAAGGCTGTGTAATAATTTATCAGTATAACATTACCTCATCATCCTTTTCTTTTTCACCTTTTGCCAGATTTGTCATCAAAGTCTCTTTATAAGGTGATGCCATCAAACCAGTCTGTAACACACATACAAATATTAACATTAATAATTCAAGAAAATTCTTGTATATCAACCCTTAACCTGCTTAAACTGAAAGTGGTTAGCTTATGCTACCAGTATAGAGCTCTGATTTACCAGAAGCCCCTGGTTTACACAAATGTACCAACAGAGGTCTCAGATTTACACAAATGTACCAAAAGACGCCCCTCATTTTCACAAAAGTACCTAACCATGATAAATATACCAGTATGTAACATTCATCTTATGACTGAATTTAGGAAAATTTCTTGAACGGGGCTTGAAACCCCACAATAAAATACTTAGTAATTTTTTTGTTTAATCAAATGTAACATGAAGGAAAAGGAAATAAAATTTAAAATTTGATTTTTCATAAAAAATCTTTGACTTGACTGTTTACAAAAAAATTATCAATTTTTAATCTGAATAACAATTTTTTCAACCTTTACATCAATTTCTGGCAAATTAGGGGTTTTTTAAATTTTTTCTAAGCTGCCTTGCAAGCGTTGACACTGCACTACTTAATTTTAGGCCAACTTTTTACTCCCTTTCATTCTAAGTTTTATTTCCCAGAAATTTCCCAAAAATACCAGTCCCGAAAAGTCAAACTAAAATATAATATCCAAACATATTATTGCTTAATTGTCCTTCAAAGAAAAACAGTAAAAGAAAGCCCAAAAACTAAATGCCCCACAAGGAAGACACTCATATTCAGAGTCAAATTTTTCCTTTCCCAAAACAGAAAATTTCAATTTAACTTTAAACATAAAATTTTAATTTAAGTTTTGTCCATTTCAAAAATTTAAAAAAAAAAATATTATAATTAATCAGAAATGACAAGGAAGAGCTAAAGATTCATAAAAATATTTTAAATTTATTGAAAAAATAAATAAAAATTTTTTGTATTTTTTAACCCAAAATTTTGTCAGAAAATTTCCTGTGAAGTAAACCGTTTCAGGTATCATGTTCTCACCAAACTGTTAACAGTTCATCAATCAATGATGAATTTGTAAAATAAACTTATTCAGATTTGACATTTAAACAGTCCATTGTTGATATAGGGGCATTTTCATAAAATCAAAGCACTTAAAAGTACTGATGGAAGACAATTTTCCAATTTCGAAACATTATCCATTCATACTTTTTAATTCACAAAACTTTAACTGTAAATGTAACTGATAAGCTGCAGTACTTATCAGGAAAATATTCTAACTAAACAAAGTCTTTGTATGTGTTTGAAACAACTATAATGAGCATTGTAGTATTTGCTGTTTTAAAAAAAAATTGTGTTTTTTTTAGTATTTCTATGAAACAGTATTCCAGAAATTGATTATAAACTTCTTCAACAATATTTGAAAGTTATATGTTCTTACTTATTAAGATGACATGGAACTTTATTGTGTACTGTACTTCTTGAGTCTATGCGAGGTAAATTAAATAAAATAATAGTAAAATTGAAAAGCCAACAGTACACAGTCTGGTAAGGCATCATAGATGTGTAGACTGGTTCGACACTTTATTGATGGCCCAAGAAAGTCATTATCATTTTGAGCATAGAGATAAACAAACCTTTTCAGCCATAGACCACCCACAGTAGCAGATTTGTCTTTTTTATCAACATTGTTGTCTTTCTCATCTTGTAGAACATCTTTTAATTTCCTGTACTTTTCCTTGTTTGTTACATATTTTTCTTCAATTTTCTGCAAAGGATAAAGACTCTTTTTTAAAAGTTTTAATGATGCTACAAATGATAAATGGGGTTTTTATAAACATAATAACATACCTTCAAAATGCTGTCAAAAAAGCTTACATTAATATTAAAAGTTTACAAGAAAAAAGACTAGAAATGTGTCCATAGGACACGAATGCCCCCACATGCCACTGTTTTGTCAATCTTATGATTCTAGGTCAAATATTTTTTGGACTACATGTGCCACAAGTTGAAAACTAAAAATCTTTTACTAAGTAAAGGGCAAGAACTTTACAAATACTGAATAAATCCACAAGGAAACCCCAAGGTGCATAAGTACACATGCGGACCAACATTCTTGTAAACTTTCAGGCCTACAAGTCAAATACTTTTTGAGCTATGCATGAACAAGTTGAAAATTGCAAATTTATACTACTGTAAGTCAAGGGCAATAACTCTTAACAAAACTGAAAAAAATCCACATGCAAAGTCCCAGGTGCATAGTTTAACAGTGATGTTGATCATTATTCCTGTAATTTAGTGATGTTGATCATTATTCCTGTAAAGTGGGTTGATTCTAACTCAAGCACTCAAGGAACAAATAACAACATAATGAAACGGTTTTTACTAAGTCAAGGGAAATAACTCTACAAATACTGGATAAATCCACAAGCGAAACCCCAGGTGCACAACTACATTATGCTGAGCAACCTTCCCGTAAGGTTTAATGACTCCAGATTCAAATACTTTTTGAGTTACCTTGCGACACAAAGTTTAAAAATTGCAAATTTTTACTAAATCAAGGGCAATAAACTCTAGAAATACTGAATAAATCCACACAAAAATAACCCAGGTGCCAAAACTGCACATGCTGATCAACTTTCCCTGTTAAGTTTCATGACTCTAGGTCAAAATACTTTTTAAGTTATGTGGCGACACAAAAAAAGAAAAAGAACGGAATGGATGACGGACGGGGAAACAAGGCCGCCAATAAAAGTGGGGGCACAATAATGATTTGATGAAAAATATTTTTCCTCATTCAAAGGACTTAGTGCTGTGAGAAACAGAAGTGAATGTAGGGACTGACAAATTTGAAAAGAAAGTAAAACGTCAACTTAAATATTCTCCACCTGAAAAAATTTGGGAAAGCATTAATTCTTGCAAAAAACCAATAATGAATATCTATGCTTTAATTAATAAGTCAGAATGATTACTTGGTTTAAAACCCTCTCCTTTTATAATGCTTGTAAGAAGATATTTTAATTTTTTTTCATCACAAATTCAGTCTTTGATGAAAAAGTATACACAGTCACCATTAACTCATAATACTCAAACTGAAGAGGTTGTCTCATGTAGTGAACGATCCCTTCTACTAATCATTGAATAACTAAAGTATATTTTACTCTACCTTTATATTTCCAAGCATGTCATCTTTTGTCATTGAGAACTGAGCTCCCATTGATGCTACAATGAAAAGAAACATTTTTACTAAAATTCTGTTGCGAAACTAAAAATAATTTCCCCTCTTAAATGTTTCCACTCATGAATATAACTTTACAATGTGACTTTTTTGTCCTTTCTTTTTGTAAATAATTTCACTATCCAGCTTTAATTGTTAGATAATTAAGTCATAACAAATCTAGTCTGCAAATTTAGCAGTAGCCTGCTAGCCCATTGCTAGTAAAACTTTGTTTGCGTCAAAACACAGACTAACGGGCTGAAAAAATTAGCACCAATCCTTTATTTTTTTAAAAAAAATTTTAAATAAATATAATTTTATCAATGATTCAAAAAATTTGTATTAAAATTATTTTATGTTTTATTTTTTCACCAGGAAAGTTAAAAAATTAGGGGCTTTTAAAAAGCTATTAAAACAGATAACTTTTGTAGGCTAGTACATTTCCCAACGGCCTGAATATTTGGGTTTTTGTGATCAAAAATTTTTTAGCGCCCAAGCCAGGTCATTTGTCACAAACGACATTAATGGTGATAATTAATTGAAAATTTTAAACCCCTGTTTTTATTTAAAAATAAATGACCGGGTCACAAAAACCAAACAAAGGGGTTTGCGCCCCAGCAGGCCCAGCCACCTTCACACGGTTTTAATCCAGCGGGCCCCAAAACCCTTAGTCTTTTTTGTCGGAAAAAATGAGTCTAAAAATATTTTATACCAGGCAAGTGCAAAGCCCTGCGCCCGCTTGTCCTGTTTGATTCCCTAAAAAACTACAGTTTAAAAATAACGATAAACGGGATTCTTTACACCAGCCTCTTTCTTACTAATTCACGCGGGTGCTTTGTGATGCAAAACAGGATGTTTCGGCCCCCAAACCAAAATTGGCCCCTGTGCAAAAATTGGCCCTTTACGTTTGGGGCCATTTCGCAGACGTTTTGGCCCTTTTTTTTTAACTTTAAAAAGGATTTTTTTTACTTAAAACTCCTGTAAAAATTGTATTAATCTATTATCACTCAAGACAATTAATTAACATCTTTATTTCTTAATTTAATAAATTAATAAGTTTTTCAAAATTAATTAACAATAAACTATTGTGATAAATGCATTTGTTCAATGTTAATAATTCTTAAAGCAATTTTTCTTAATTTAAAGACAGTTGACAAAACTGCAATAACAATGTTAAAATTTAAATACAACTGCACCTCAAAAATCATTATCTTTAGATCTCTATTGATTATTTTACAGCTATTTATTTAACTATTTATATTAATATTTATTTTTTATTTTTTCAAGGTGTAACAAATTAATTATTTATAGCTTATTGCTATCTAGCGGTTAGTAATATCAAATTGTTGTGTATCGCTGAAACTCATCACTTACTATTAATTTAATAGTTGTTGATAATAAATGTTTGTTTCATGTATTGTTCTGTGTCTTGCTTTTTCAATTGTTCAAATTAAAAAAGTGCTTGTTGATAATAAGCTTATAAAAATCTGTTTCAGTGTTCGATATACTATGTTTTGTTTTACAAAAGTTTTGTTCTGTTCTGTTTGTTTTGTTTGTTTTGAAACAAACAACAGAAATTGGGAGGTCGTCGTTGGGGAAGTTTTCATTTGCTGGTTCCCCTTTCCCTTTTTGGGAGACTGAGTAATTTCCTAGCATCCCCTACCCTAAAAAACCCGGGCAACGGATTTTAAAAAGGAAAAACACGTGCAACAACCCCCCAATTTTAAAATCGGTTCCGGGGAAAGAGGAAAAAACAACAAAAAAAATTGTAATTGCAAATTTACATTTTACTACACGTATCATTTTAATCATGCACGATTAATAAATCGATTTTTCCCAAAGATCAGATTTTCCTTTTGTAAATTTCAAATTTTATAAAGGTTTTGCGATAGTAAAAACGAAAAAAATTTTTTTTAAAAAAAAACAAAATTAACTAAATTAGATCACAAGAACAAAACACTATTTTTATATTATTTCCCCTAAAATTATCATGATTTATTGTAAATACCAAATTTTACATCAAAAATAACTCAAACCTTTATTCACTCCCCCACGGGTTTAAACAGGGATCGGGAAATCCAAATTTTCCAAAAATCTTTAAAAATCTTGTAAAGCACCCGACAAATTTGGTAATTGATCAATTTTCCCCCGGGGGCTAAGCTAAAGCCCGTTTCCAAAGATACCTACTTTTCTGTCCAAAATTAGACGAAAGAACACCGGAAAATTTGGACGGGGGCTGCTTTTTCCAGTCCAACCACGAAAATGCATTTTTTTGCCGACGTCCCCAATTTGAAGTTTTGGGGGGAAAAAAAAAGTTTCAAAAAACGGTTAATTTCCTGAAAAGAGAAATTTTTATGCAAAGGTTTCCCAATTTTATACTTTTAAAGTCGAACACAAGTCTAAATATTTTCCCCTTTAAATTTTTAAAACGTTTAAAATTATTGAAAGCCATATTGGGAAAACGGTGTCATGGTAAAAAAACCCAAAATTGTAAATTTCCATGGTGTAACACAGGTATCGGCGGCAATCGATTGTATTTGCCAACCTTTATTATACAATTTGTTTATGTTTTTTTTATATGAATTATTGCAGGAATAACTCTTTTATTCACACACAAATATTTCAGCATTAAAAAGAGAATGTGAAAAGGAAATTCTGATAACCTTACTTAGAAAATAAATAGTTTATGATGTCCGATGTCAGATCATACTGCATTTAAGTCCGTTTAAATTGTCAAATTAGATATTATTAAGTTGGATTTTTTTAACATCTGTGATCATTAGGTGAAATTTCTGAACTACCTTTTTATTTTATAACCCTGCCATGATTTCCCACATACGAAAATACAATGTAAGTGTAGGTACATCTTAATGAATTATAATTATACTATACATGATGAAGCAAAGAAGAATTTCAATTTATATTATACTCCATATCAATTTCTAGTTTATTATCTTTAAAAGAAATTGAGGACGGTTGTGTAGGGGAAGAAGTTCAAAACAACCAAAAATAACTTTAAAATTCTGAAAAAAAAAATTCTTAAACTTTCAAATTATGAAATGGAATTTCAGACAGTCCTCAGTAAAATACAATTGTCGCACAGATATGACGGGGTTTATGATAAAAACGCAGCAAGCAGAAATTTAGTGACCGTTATTTAGACGTTGAATAGCATAACAATGTAAGACAGATGGGAGAAATGTTAGAACGACTGTCGCAAAAGGACACCAAAACCTCTGATACCAATTTAAAATTCCATGTTATCTAGTTCCCGCTTTTCATTGAACGGCACCTCGAATGTGTCACATTGAAAGTTCCATGATTACCGTCGTATTATGTACACATCTGTGGATGTTGATTGAAAATTTCAACATTATTATGTTTAAGTGATCAATTCTGTTTAAACCGGCGAAAGGGAGCACTTGCACCTACCAGCCGTCTTTGGCACTCATGTGTATTTATGTTTCGATTTTGCAGTTTCAGGCGTTTTTGGTGGGTTTTTTTTAGGGTGGATACATGTATGTGGATAAGTTTTTTCTGTTTAATTTACATTTCTTTGCTTGCTTGCCGAACCTTGTATTGATAATCATTATCTGCTACGGTTCGGTATACATGTATACAATATCGATGATAAACAAGATGAACAAGGAAAGGCGACGTTCAATGAACGCAACCCCCACACGACCCAGGAACAAGAACCATTGGCAAGGATCCCAGGAGGATCCTAAATTAAAACGGGACAGGGCGCAAGGGAGAGCACGGTCAGGCTTATCACTAAAATGTAACTGAGAAGGAAATCAAAGAAAATAAATAAATGAATGATTAATAGGACCACTAAGTTAACGGGCACAGGGGAAGGGGATAAGAAATTCGAAGATAGAGTAGACAGTACAAATTTGAAATAAATCGCATGTATGCGTTAAGACAGGTACAATCTAATATTTTTTCTAGGAGAAGTTAGTACTAAAATTTATATTCTATTGATCTTTAGAGGACATGGAAGTTACTTTCAGGTTTAAGCAGTAAAAATCAGTCCAAACTATCGATAGTGTTGCCGGTAGATTTTCCGTGCGTAAAAATGACAGTTAAAATTAGGCGTAACGGTTTGACAGTAAGAAAAAAAAAAGTCTGTAAAATGGGTCAAACCGTTCACGCCAAATTAATTAGGCTACTACTTTACAAAATACAATATTGAATATAGCTCTTCCATTTATTATCCAATTTTGGAAATTTAAAGTTTATTTTGAAGAAAAATACTTGTTTAATTCAAATATCTAATTTATTTTTTAAAGGTACAGTTTATCTGTCCGCAATGATGATTAAAAAATTAACTTGACGAAATCCGTGGTAAATTTACATTTTTTTATATAAAAAGCAGGTATTTGAAATTTATTATTATAGTAACATTATATTTTCAATTTCAAAATAAAAAAGAAGCCGATGTAAGTTATTCACAGATGATTAAAGATGCAATATTTAATATTTATTGGGTTATGTTGTCAAATTTGTTAATGCGCAATTGTTTTACGGGTAATATGTTTTGCGGGCTTTACAATTTGCTCAACACGTGAAGAAAATTTATTCATTTTTTAGTACAAAATATTGCCGAGATTTTAAAATTGCCATATTCATAGAATATTTAAATTTCATTCATCATTTATATCATTATTATTTTTTGTAAATCTGTTTTCAAAAGTCGGTGCAGTGAAGTAGACAATCATCATAACAGTTTTAAAAGTACTCTCGTGTGGCTGTCTCAATTCCGGCCTTTTTAATGTCACTCGTATATTTTAATTACTAGTATTCTTTTTATTTGAATGCCTGTAGAAAGATATAATTTCTGATATTTTTTAATGTAACGCTAGAAAAACATTAAAAATCTGTACAGTTTGAGTCAGAATTATGTGAAATAAAAGTAACTTTTGATGATTTTTTACACATCTCTTAAATTTCTTTGAAGTTTAATTACTTTTGAAGGGGGTAATTACCAGGTAACAAGTGATTATTGAAAAAGTTTATTTTCAAACTTTCATTACCAGGTTACATGTGATACTTGCAACACTCAATCTTCAAAAACAAATAG